AACTTCCAGAAACAGTTGCGTGACAAACCCATTCTTCCTCTCGTCTGACAATGACAAGAAAACGAGATCGACGATACTCGTGCCACCACTTGCAAACTTCGCAACCATGTTGCCAAGCGCAAATCAGAAGACTCTGACAATGAGGGCAACTCCTCTATCAATTTCATCACTTGGATGGAAAATATCTCTATCTGAGGATTAGGCCAGGATGATGACTCAACGGAACCTGTTCCGATTTCTCATACCAAGTGAATGAAGATATCTCACTAACTAGTAAACAAGAATTGTTTAACCGATGAACTCTACGGCAAATTAGATGATTGCCTAGAAGCTGCTCAACTAGACTTCTGAATCTATTTAGACATTGTTAACCTCGTCCGTGCCAACCACCTCGTAAACGTCGCAAGACAAAGACCTCAAAACCATCGTCTATGTTAATTAACAAAGCGAGAAAAAGGAAACCCAAACCCGTTACATCTTGGCTTCTGGATACAGGAGCATCTGGAACCTTGATTGCTCAAACTCATGCTAAGAATTACGCATGAAGGATCTTGGGGGCGTCCAAACATGTGGACTACCCCTGCAGGAGAATTAAACACAGCACGAAGTGCAAAGGTGCATTCCATGATCTGAATTCCACGAAGACATAGAATTATCGAGTGGACTTACACGTCACCAAAAGCTTGGGGGCGTATGACATGATATAGGTCGAGATATTCTCCTGACTTAGTTCAAGTTTGATTTTCACTACCATGTCAGTGGAATGGACGGCGATCTTATTCCTATGAAAGATAGCGACACCAATGAAGAAGAAAACTTTTTCATTCCTGATCCTACTGCTGTTGATGACAGTGCAGATAGTCTCAAGAAGATTCTTGATCGAAATACGAACAAGCTGATTAAGGCAGGTTTGCCAAAGTCAAGATCATTTAAACACGGAAGAGAAGGAACAAGCTTCATTCCTTACTGAGAAGTACTCTGACCTATTCGTGGTACTTTAGGAAAGTGCAGATGGACGACTACGAAGTAGAACTTCTCCCTGATGCTAAACCCTATCATGCAGGGCTTACCCTATTCCCCGGTCATACCAACACTCTTAAGATGGAGGTTGAACGTCTCTGCGAAGCAGGAGTACTTAAAAGGTAAACCGTTCCGAGTGGGCGGCACCAAAACTTTCATCATTCCCAAAAAAAGACGGATCTGTACGATTCATCTCGATTTCCGGAACCTGAACAAAAGGATAAGCGGAAGCCTTATCTATCCCAAAAATACAGGACATCTCTTGAATCTAGACGGATTCAAGTACGCTACTAGTCTAGACCTGAACATGGATATCTATCACATCGAGCTGTCCACTCACTCGAGCAACTCTGTAACATCGTACTCCCGTGGGGAAAGTACGAGTACCAAGAGGTTGCCGATGGGCCTATTGAATAGTCCAGACATCTTTTCAAGAGAAGATGGGAACATAATGCACGACCTAGAAACGTCCGTGCATACATTGACGATCTACTCAACCTAACTAACCGCGATCTAGCAGATCACGTTGAAAAGTTGGATGAAGTTCTCCGAAGGCTTCGAGAAGCCGGACTTAAGATCAATGCTACAAGTCCTTCTTTTCCGCAAAAGGAGAACTTGAGTACCTAGGTTACTGGATTACTTGAGAAGAATCCAACCGTAACCAAGAAAATAGAGCGATCTAAGAATATCGCTCCTCCTACCAAAGGAAGGAACTCCGTAGATTCATTTGGACTAGTGAACTACTACTATCGAGACATGTGGATTAGACGAGTACTGGCCCCACTCGCCTTCGTTGACTTCCAAAACAACGAAGTGGAATGGGAAGCAGAACACGACAGGCCTTTAACCAGATGAAGAAGATCATCAAGCAAAGAAAACTTGCTCGCCTACCCTGACTTCAACGATACATTCGTTATCCACACGGATGCGAGTGATACTCAACTAGGTGCGGTAATTTCCCAGAAGGGAAAACCTATCGCGTTCTACAGCAGGAAGCTCAACCCTATCTCAGACACGTTACACAGTTACCGAGAAGAGAACTTCTCAGTATCGTAGAAACTCTGAAGAGTTCCGTAACATTCTTCTAAGGACAGAAGATTGTTGTACATACGGACCACAATAATCTTACATGTAAGAATTCAATACCGATCGCGTAATGCGATGGCGCCTTATTCTGGAAGAATACGGCCTGAACTACGGTACATCAAGGGAGAACAAAACATCGTCGCTGATGCGTTGTCGAGACTTAACATCTCCAAAACCGACGGTTCTTCAGAACAGATGGACTCCAGTGAGATCGCTATATCTCATGGCTGAAGACGAAGAGGACTTACCGAGCGAGTTCCCTCTCTCTCGTTCCCCGAGGTCGAAAATCGTCAGAAAGACGACCAAACGATATCAAGAGCTCCTCGCGGAACGCATGCTTTCCTTGAGCCATCTTCATGGTGAAGGAATAGGTTGAGGGTAGCTGAAAGCTATTGTGTTTGTTAACAAAATGCACTACGCTAAAAGCTAGTGTAAAGATCTTTCGAGTGTTTTGTGTTTGAGAGAATGAAAGTTATGAGAGAGATTAGAAAGCTATGAAAACTAATCGACGAGAGAGATCATCATCAAAGGATCGTAGATCTGGCTTCCCGCGGGAGACTGTAAAGTGTGATAGAGTAGGTTGTGGTAGTAATCCTATGTCTCTCCATGATCCTAAAACGGAACGCGTGGAAGGTTTGTCTAGCCTGGATCTAGTAGCGTGGAAGTACTCCACGCTGGCTAAATATCTAGAGCGATGTTTCATCATCAACCTAGTATGACTAGCGCGGTCATTGAGAACCCTGTCTCAAATGACTATTCACGAGAGACTCGGTCATGAGTCGAACTCAAACCCTATCTAGGATCGAGTCGCGAATAAGGCTAAGAGCCGTGTATTGCACTGTCCCAGCAATGCGGAAAAGTGTTGGGCAATTGGCACACGAAGATTGGATCAACGATTGTTGGAGGTCAACCCTGTACGTTTCAATACATCTCCGGTACTCGGAGGGATGTACCACAACCCGCTCCCCAGTGAGCTCCCAGTCCTCCGATTCCGATGACGTGGCCACGGGTCCGATCACGGGCGACCGCGCCAAGCTGTGGCATTTCACCGAAGTCCTGTTCGCGGATGATCGCGACCGACGCTGGAATGACAAAGTGAGAGAGCTCCTGGTGATGGCGTTGCTGTTGCGTTATGACCAGTTCTGCGCCGTACTCCGCTCACAACCAGGTGCGATGATCCGGGAATGCACCTTCAAGACCTTCAGTCCCAATAGACACGACATTGACCGCTCCCACGACTACGGCATGATCCAAGACCATCTGTTCATTTGCAAGATCAAGGACCCTCCTCCGAGCAAACGTGGACGAGCTCACGTTCACCAAATGGTGCGAGGAAACCCGCCACGCGTTCATTGAACACAACGTAGCGGGTCTCCCAATGGAAATTCCATTAAGATCGATGTCCGGTGTTTCGCCGAACACTTCTCCGCCTTTCAGCAACCACCCAGGCGACCCATGTTGCGGTCCAACAGCTCTGTCATCAAATGAGCGACGTCATAGACATCCTCCGTTACGAAAGGCTCGACACCAACCAAGTCTACGCCATGGCGACCTCCATCAGACGACTGAAAGACCACATCCTGGGAGAAGTCGATTCCAAACCGGTGACGACAGCCAATCCACCCATGAGAAAATTCACCGTCAGCAGCAAAGCACTCGCCCGACACGCGTCTGTGGTGGATGTAACCGTCCTCTTCTTTTCGGATAAGTTCCCAGCCGGTATGGCCCTGGAACAACGAAGCGATTCTTGGAAGGACATGGATGAGAAAGAGAAAAAGAGTCACCGCAACCGTTACAGCAGCATCAAGCGAGCGGTTCGCATTGTAGTGATGCACATGGATTCCTTTCCGTTGGTATCCGATCGAGATTTCAAATCGACACTCTGTCGTGTTGCAAGCAAAGCGTTAGAACGCCTCCGAACCAACTATAAGATTTCCGAAGACAAGACCATCACGGTTCACACAATTGCAAGCAACAGCCAACAAACCCCAACCCTTGAGAAGACTATGAATCTACCACCCGATCTTCTGGAAGTTTGATGTAAAGTATTCGATAAGAAGTAAACCCTCTTTTTATTTTATAGACATGCGACAATCAACCTCCTCCGCGCAAATGCAACGATCACCCCGGCGTCACTCCCCACCATCCAAGACCTTCGTCCTTTCTGCAGGAGTGACAAACTTCCAACCCGCTATCGTCGTTCCACCATGTGCTACACCGAGGACAGAAGTCCTGGCCACAGTCGTTACATTTTGTGTTGTCCTGTACTTTTTTAGTCCCACCATTGTTCATTTGTTTTATGAGATGATGAAGGACCAGAGTAAGATAACTTTACAATTCTGGCACCATTGCATTATGCCATCGACCGTCTCATTGAACCAAGGCGTTAGACGCCTGTGAATACGTTTGACGAACATTGCTTAGTGGAAAACTGCACAGCAAAGCATCCCTCATCCCGAAGTCCTCAGTCACTGAGACGGCAACGCAATGGCTCCAGGACCTCGACGATATCCGCACCCTCCTGGACATCGCCATCCATCCGTTCCGAGACGCTTGATGTAGACGCTAGGGTTGTCCTAATCCTAATCGAACTAGCCATGTACCCAAATAACACTATGGTTGCTGTTCGACCCAAGAACACTTTGATTATGACCATGACGAAATCACGATCCGTTAGACATCGCAGCTCGCACCGGCGCAAAACTGCGTCGATGGATTGGTGACATTTCATGTTCTTAAAGCAACCTGCGGTGTAGTTTTGTTGGGTACCCTTTGTGACGCGCTAATTGGTATTCCCGATCCAACTCAACCATCTTCCGGTCACGGTATTGTTTTGCGAGGATCGAAGCGGCACTGATACAAGCCTCGGAGAGATCCCCTCTCACAATAGTCTCAACATTAACCCCTGGTAAATCGGGGGCTTGATTACCGTCAACTTTTACTTTGAATGGGCGGACATCCAACGCCAACACCGCACGTTGCATTGCAAGCATGCTAGCACGCAGGATATTGAAGCGGTCGATCTCTTCGACACTAGCCTCGGCGATAGCATAAGTCAACTCATGTTTACGGATTTCCTTTTCAAGTCGCATCCGTTGGTGTTCACTGAGCTTCTTGGAATCAGTTAAGCCATCGATGTGATGATCGGCATTGAGGATTACGGCTGCTGCCACACCCGGTCCAGCGAGTGGACCACGTCCAGCTTCGTCGACCCCGGCGATTATATCTTTCATAGACATTTTTTGTGACTCGTAATCACCCTTATCTGTCGTCGTCCATTCTACCGTACATGTTTGCAACGGGAGGTGCCGTGACACGTTCAGTTTGAGAGGAATGGCGGTGTACAATGCAATGATTGACCGCTACAAATCATTTAACATTCAAATAGTAGAGCAGGTCAATCTCTAAGAAACTGATTAGATTAGAATGCCTTCTTTCTCCCATCGAAGAAGACGCCATTGTCAACGTATCTATGAACGCAGTCGGTCTTTGGATCAACTATTGCGACCACTTTAACCACTTTACCTCTCTCTCTTACCCCTTTGACACTTTGAGTAACTTCAATGGATGTCTTGCGACCTCTGGGTCTCTTCTCTCCGGTGATCTCCAGTAGCTCCGGTTTGGTAAACCCGTCCTTCTTCGTAGCCTTGAAATTGTTGCCGTAGCCCTTAATCTCCCCTTTACACTTCAATTCAATTAACTTGTCACTGATTTCATCTATGCGCAATCCAAGCGGGTGCCTCAGTTTCAGAAGTTCGTTTTTGGTTAACATAACCGTACCATCGTCAAATCTGGACCTGCCACAAAGAGACTTTGTTCTGATGTAAGTCGTCAACAGATGTTCCATTGTCAAATTGTGAGCACGGCCAACCCATCCACCGGTGCCACCAAGCCAACGAGCCCCCCCCCCTCCGTAAATATAACACGCCAGCCCACCCATCTCGGACCTCTGCCCCCATTCCAGACACTTCTCACCGCGTCATCTCCCCTGTTAATATGCGGTGGAAGACGATCAAATGTGCGTTGAGAAGTGCTGGAGCAACTTCTCTCAACAGACCTCTCTGCCACACCCCAACACCTCTGCCCCATTTCTGTCCTTCAACCGTTTCCAGAGTAAACGTGCAACCAATTTATTTAAGAGGAGGTCTGTAAGCAAAGCTCAATATTACACAGACCTCTGCCCTCTGCCCCAAAGTACGGTTTTACTATAGGAACCCAATGGGGCAGGGGGCTCCCGGCTGACCAAAAGTCCTCTGACCCACGTCAACACCTCTGCCCCATTTCCATCTCCAGGACTTTTAGGTCTGACCTCTGCCCCAAAGTACTGTTTTACTATAGGAACCCTATGGGGCAGGGGGCTCCCGGCTGGGGGATTAATTACTTATTTAGGTTAACAACCTATTGGGTCCGGAGGACCTTTTTCTACGCCGGCAATAGTTGAGCCCGAGGGCCCAAATAGCTGAGTCGTATACCATTGGTGAATTGCACGATAGGAAGATTCACGGTGCACACCAAGCTTCAACACTGCAGGAGGACAAGCCGCTCATAGTAGCACGGCTACACTATCCTATAGTCTCACCGCCGTTCACCTCCGCCCCATGAACGAGGGGCAGGTCCCTACAGCTCTACTTACAATGGAAGTGTGCATCTTCCCATCATGACCTGGAGCACGGTGGCCTAGCCAGGATTTAACCTATTAGAAGGGCGCTGATCGACAACAGTCATCATCGATCCACCTCCACCACAGGTGCGTCTGAGTGATCATGTCCCATGCTGTGGCCATTGCCTTGTCGTGCAAGGCAAGATGCCAGCAGAGTCCATAGGCGGTGGCGCACCTAAGACTGGACCATGTCAGGGTATGACCTATCCAGTGGGCGAACAATGTCAGGCAGAAGCTGACAAAGAGCCATGTGATAGGGCCAAGTGACGCACTGGCAGGCAGTGGCTCCCAAAGGGGAGGCACAGTGTCTGCTGGGGCGGTGTGGACTGTAAGAGGGGTTGTGGGGTGGATGTTGGAGGGGTGGTTGTGGGCTGTAGATGGTATGGTGCTGGGGGGAGTTGGGTAGGGTGTGTTTGCTATGGGAGGCATGATGGTGGTGTGGAGGGTGGAGTCTCCTGTGATGTTGACTGTGGGTCGTGCTGCAACTCAAGCACAGGGAGTGCTTGTGAGGTAGTGAGGAGGATTGATTCAAAGAATCTATTCAAGGAGGACAATGCTATGGGGCACTGGCAATCAAGGATCAACGATGTTGGTTGTTGTTGCCACTGAATCAAAGGCTGTGTCCCAATCTAGTGCAGTACCACAACTGCAAGAGAGGGTGTCAGAGCCGAGGCTGGTAGAGGATTCTCAACAGGAGTCTGGAGAATGCACCCTATAGCCAGTAGGTGCAGTGGGAGTGGTATCAAGGTGTGTTGTTGGTTGATGGGGCGCTGTTACTGGTAGACGCTGTGTGTTGTCTCAAGGGCTGGTGCTCAATCTGGTGAAGGCCACACAGACTTCAACAGAGAGTCAAGCCAAGATTTGTAGAGGGTACTCAATTCAGTGGAATGGACAAAGACTGAGGAGTCACGCAACAATCAGCTAGAGATGTAATAGAGTCAGGCGGTGGTTGATATCTGGCCACACCACGCTGCAGTTCTGTCTGGGGCCCAATCCTTTGGAGTCAGACAAACTCAGTAGGAGAGTCAAGTGCAGGAGCAGAGAGGTGGCTGGTTCAATAAGGGGGTGTTGCACAATCTATATGTGATACTAGAGGGGCAACTTTTGTTCTTTCTTGTGGGGGTGAGGTCCTTTGGAGAGGAGTTGGGTATCCCAGGGAGGAGGCTGTAGACGACGAAGAATACAGTCAAGCCTGGTGACAGGCCTGAGCAGGGTGACTGGCTAGACTGACCTTGGCTGGAGCCAACCTGTACTCAAGTCCTTACAGGAACTCTGTTGTTGTTTGTTGTTCCTCTTGAGGAGGAGTTAGATATCAATGGAGGAGTGGTAACAGGGCAGTAGTAGGATCAATGCCAACAAGGACGTCGGGAGAAACCCAGAGTGGCCAGGTAGAAAGTAAGAATACAGGTGTAATGCTCTTCTCGGTGGTCACTGCAGGTATCTCGTGAAGTCCTGCTTGATGATAGTAGAGGCTGTCGTCGGCTATCATAACAAGTCCGTGACCAACACACAATCAATGCCAGCGTTATGTTATGCTATATTCAATCAATCCCTGTGTCTCTTGCAGTTGTATTCGAAAGCCGCATCCTCCCTCCTCTGTTCTCTCTTCCTTTTCAACATTCCGGCGGCTCTCTTGTGATTCTTCAGTAGAAAGTTACCCCTGTTCCTGTTGATTTTTCGAAGCTTTTCAACCATTGCTGTTTCTTCCATGATAAGAGGCTCCGGTGTCTCCGGTGTCTCCTCCTCCGTCTGTGCCTCTCCCTCCTCCATCTGCGCCTCTCCCTCCTCCTCTCTTTCGGGTTTCAACCGTCGGTAAATCCAAGTCGCAATTTTCAACTCAAGGTATTTCCTCCTTAGTTGACTCAAACGCCTAGCGCTGTTAATGACATTCTTTTCCTGTTCAGCCTCCATCTCCTCAATTTGCTTTTCGACCGTCCTTCCTCTGAACCATTCTCCGTGACCTCTGCCCTCTGCCCCAAAGTACGGTTTTACTATAGGAACCCAATGGGGTAGGGGGCTCCCGGCTGACCAAAAGTCCTCTGACCCACGTCAACACCTCTGCCCCATATCCATCTCCAGGACTTTTAGGGAAGCATCCCCAATCCGCTCCCAATCGCTGTGCCTCTCCGCTGTGCGTCTATTCATTGCTGTACCTCTCCGCTGTGCATCTATTCATCGCTGTGCCTCTCCGCTATGCGTCTATTCATCGCTGTGCCTCTCCGCTGTGCATCTATTCATCGCTGTGCCTCTCCGCTGTGCGTCTATTCATGGCTGTGCCTCTCCGCTGTGCGTCTATTCATCGCTGTGCCTCTCCGCTGTGCGTCTATTCATCGCTGCGCCTCTCCGCTGTGTGTCTATTCATCGCTGTGCCTCTCCGCTTGAAAGCGTTACAGTTCCTCCCACGACTCAGAGTATCCGTGAGTAGATTGAGTCATGCTTTATGAGTCAACACGATGGAACAGAGAACGCTGGCAAGTACACGTTCTCAACGAAACCAAAGGACACGGTAAACTGGAGTATTCGACAGGAGTAAAGCATCCTGCCAACGAACCGTTTCCCGCAGATACCACGTTGACTTCCGTATGAATCAAGATCAACTACCATGATGCATTGATCTAACACGCTACGAACTAGCTTTACTGATCGCATCAATCAAAGCTCACAACACAGATTATGAATTACTAAGAACCGAACTTTGCATTTTCCTTGCACTCGTCTTGAATAGTTGCAGCTGATCTCATTGGGTGGTAGCTACCTCTACAAGATCCCTCTATTCAAGTAGTATTTCCTCACATTAGCAGATTAACTAGTCGCAGTTACGCACTGCCACACCTCCATCAAGATGGCCGATGAACCAGCCAGGCTCAAGCATGTCCTATGCAACCTATGCGGCGAAGACGCTTCCAACACAGGGTACAATGCATCCCACATGCGCATCGCACTGTCTGAACAAGGAATTGATGGATGGATGGATGGATGGATCTCCTACTTCTCACCAAAGATGAAGTTATGGATCTCCAAGCTTCCAATGACACCAACGGTGCTCCAAGACTAGTACCTCTCACCAGGAAGAAGCTACTGCTCGCGGTGATACAGATGTATCACCATTGGTCGTTCAAGAAGAAAGCACCCGTCCGCATCGTATCACTGATGGCCACCGTGCTCGATGCTTTCAGAGTTGGACTCTTCCAGCCACACGGCGAAATCGTCCCATGGCAGCAAATGAGACGTAGCGATGCCACGATGACCGATGGGGAGCGTGCAATCGCACTTTGGGACAAGAACAACAAGCCCGTCCGCTCGGAGTTCAGAGAGTTTCGCGACGAATCAGCCTTCATCAAATGGAGGAAGAGCTTCCTCAACACGCTCAAATCTCAAGGTCTCTCCCACCTCATTGATTCTGACTTCACGGTCACCAACTTCGAACTAGACGAGAAACAACGAGAATGGATGTACAAGACCTTCGAAGACATCTTCCAAGAAGCACAGGCGCGATCTGTCGTCCTTGCCAACGAAACCGACAAGGACACTCGTGCGATCTGGAAGGCAATTGACGAATATTACTCCAAGTCCATGGTCGCAACCCTGCGCTCGGATAAGATCTCGTGTTATCTCACCTCCGCAGATATCGCAGAACGTGTATGGAGAGGGTCCCAAGCTGGTTTCATCTCCAACTTCCTCGAACAATTTCGGCAGTACAATGAGATCAGCGATGAGCCATACACTGACCAGCAGGGAGCACGTTTCTTGGAACGCTCAATCTCCAAGGCACCAAATCTCGCTCCCGTACGACGTCTCGCACTGCAAACCAAGAAAGCCGCAGGAGACACCTCCAAGTATATACTCGAGCAATACCAAGCAGCCCTTCTCATCAGGATCTCCTTGGCCACCATTGTCATTACCTTGTGGATTCGAGTGCAGACAAGCTGCGCTCGCCCAGAGCAGCTAGACACGACTAGTAGAGGATTAGGTGAGTGGAGAGACTCGGCCATTTACTGAGCCGACCGTCTCCAGTCCCCGGGGTACCATTCGGGACTTGGGAGTCCCGGATGGATCCCACACGGCAAAAGGGAGTCCCGGGAGTGTGATGTTCCACGGGACAGCCTTGAGTCGTGCAACCAGGGAGGGAGAGGTGGGTTAATCTAATCTAGGTTCTTTCCTTCAGCGTCGTGCAATACACGGCTCTTAGCCTTATTCGCGACTCGATCCTAGATAGGGTTTGAGTTCGACTCATGACTGAGTCTCTCGTGAATAGTCATTTGAGACAGGGTTCTCAATGACCGCTCTAGTCATACTAGGTTGATGATGAAACATCGCTCTAGATATTTAGCCAGCGTGGAGTACTTCCACGCTACTAGATCCATGCTAGACAAATCTTCCACGCGTTCCGTTTTAGGATCGTGGAGATTCGTAGGATTACTACCGCAACCTACTCTATCACACTTTATAGTCTCCCGTGGGAGACCAGATCTACGATCCCTTGATGATGATCTCTCTCGTTGATTAGTTTTCATAGCTTTCTAATCTCTCTCATAACTTTCATTCTCTCAAACTCAAAACACTCGAAAGATCTTTACACTAGCTTTTAGCGTAGTGCATTTTGTTAACAAATTGTTAACAAACACAATAGCTTTCAGCTACAGTACCCTCAATCTATTCCTTCACCATGAAGATGGCTCAAGGAAAGCATGCGTTCAGCAACTTCGAGAAACAGTTGCGTGACAAACCCATTCTTCCTCTCGTCGACAATGACGAAGAAAACGAGATCGACGATACTCGTGCAACCACCTGCAATACTCGTGCAACCACCTGCAAACTTCGCAACCATGTTGCCAAGCGCAAATCAGAAAACTCTGATAACGAGGACAACTCCTCTATCGATTTCAATCACTTGGATGGAGAAATCTCTATCTGAGGATTAGGCCAGGATGATGACTCAACGGAACCATGTTCCGATTTCTCATACCAAAGTGATGAAGATATCTCACTAACTAGTAAACAAGAATTGTTTCAACGATGAACTCTACGGCAAATTAGATGATTGCCTAGAAGCTGCTCAACTAGACTCTGATGATCTATTTAGCATCGTTAACCTCGTCCGTGGCCAACCACTCGTAAACGTCGCAAGACAAGAGACCTCAAACCTATCGTCTATGTTAATTTAACAAGCGAGAAAAAGGGAAACCAAAACCCGTTACACCCGTTGCTTCTGGATACAGAGCATCCGGAACTTTGATTGCTCAAACTCATGCTAAGAATTACGCATGAAGATCTTGGGGGCGTCCAACCATGTGGACTACCCCTGCAGGAGAATATAAACACCAGCACGAAATGCAAAGGTGCATTCATGATTCCTGAATTCCACGAGAAAGAATTATCGAATGGGATTTACACGTCACAAAAAGCTTGGGGGCGTATGACATGATCATAGGTCGAGACATCTCTCTGATTAGGATTTAAGTTCGATTTCACTACCATGTCAGTGGAGTGGGACGGCATCTATTCCTATGAAAGATAGCGACACCAATGAAGAAGAATACTTTCTTCTTCCTGATCTACTGCGTTGATGACAGTGCAGATCG